AAGATTTATTACACATACGTATCTAATTTATGTGTAATAAATCTTCTGTGTCATGTTTCCTTTTTTTAAATATTCTTGAATACCAAAGTTCATTTTAATTACATGTAATAGTGTTTTTACTTTAACTATTTCACAAAAGATACTGGTGTATCTATGCCATGAACACCTGGATTGATAAATTCTACAGTATCCCACTACTGGTGGCCACCCTATACTAAAAAAAATATTAAAAAGTGAAGGTTTAAATATCAAAAGTTGACAAATCATTAGAAGCCAATAGGCCTAACATTTGTGTTTATCGTGGACGAATTAAGAGTAATGTGAAAAAACACATGCTGGAGGTAAAACTGCACTGCAAAAATCAGGTGGTGTGAGTCTATTCAGTTGGCCCATTTGCTAGTTGCCTTAGCAACCAATCAAATGAGTTAAAGTTGCAGTCTTGCTATCCTCATTTCTTGATTCTTAACCTGGGTAAGCTATGTAGCTCACATGGGGATTGCAAAACTACCATGGCACTGGCACATAAAACAAACAAGTACAGTAATCTTCTGTATTCAAAATCTTGCAATATAAATGGCTGAAATGCGTGAATTACTCGACAGTAAGTTTTCAAGCTTGCCTTATAAAAAGTGTACTAGCAATTTTTGTTCTAGCACCCTCTGTGTTTTAGTAACTAAACTATACAACTAACCAACAATTTGTCAGTTTTCTAGAATTAATTTGGAACCTCGGTATACTGTTTGTTGCTATAGGTAAAATAACAATCATCACAATCATGTGTCAATTAAAACTGCTACAAAATACCATTTGTTGCTGTAAATAAGGTTTGAAAAACAAATCCAAAAGCAATGTTAGCACAAAATGTTGGTAAACAAATACATTTCTAAATTCACATGACTTAACTTAATAAACTTTTTTTTCTTGGAGTTTTATTCTTAAATAATATGTTCCATCAAGTAAGGCTCATAGATGCCACAGCCATTTCCTTATTTTGTTCGTTTTAGATTCCTAGATTCAGAGCAAAACCCTAAACAATTTATTTTCCGATTTGTCAAGTAAGGTTTCCAATTATAGTATTTTTGGCAGTTGTGTATAAAGTTAAAAATCATAAATAATATTCAACGTTAAACTGGTACACAATTAAAACATTTTATTTAGGCCTATCTATAG